AAAATGTTGAAAGTGTGTTTGATATGTTATTTTTTAAAATGCATCTTATTTGTAAATATCAACTCATTTTCATCGACAAATTACTTAGGAAAAGGAGAAAACATACCTTTGATTTTTCTATATATGCACATTTTCTAAAACATGATTGCCGATACGTAAACTAATATTATTCGTACTAATTTGGGAACCACTCTACAAGTGTATCGTTTCTATTAAAATTGTTTCATAAGCTTATGGACTTGTGTTCCACGAATATTTCCAATACATATTTAATCACCCTCAAGAGTAGTGAGATGAATAAACTATTAAGTTGTGATTCAAATTTCATGTGATTTGAAATTATAGTTCACGCAGAAAGATTAGATAATTTTAGTTTAGAAGCCAGGAAAGATAAGAGATCGAATTTTATCATGCATTGAGAATTTGATTTAGATAAAGGGTTCGGGATTAATTATTTTACTTTATCCATAATTCCAAATTTTGGTTCTTATAAATACGCCACACAGTGTAGGTTCTTCATAGACTCAAGATAACAATTAAATCACTTTTTTATACATTAGAAACTTGAGAGATTTGTTTAAACTTAGATTGAGAGAATTAAATCTTTAAAGATAATTTTATGTTCTTGGTAGAATAAATTCTCATCTACTTCGATAAAAATTTTGTTTGTTATTTAATCCATTATTTTTAATATTGTCCATATTTTCTTGTTCTTTAATTATTTAGCCGGATTCTTAATAAATTGATATCAAAGCTGTTCGGGCTTTCAATAAAATAATTTCAAATTTGATTTGAAATATAATGTAAACAAATTTATTATCAAACAATAGTCCACATTAGGTCAGTAATTAAGATGGCCCAAGTTCCATGACAGCCACAGACTTTTTGTCAAAAAAGTATTGGTAGGACTTACGAGGACCACCAGATGGCTTATGTTACTTTCGATATTCCATGGAATCAAGGGCATACTCAGACCTTTCGTACCGTGGGATCAAAAGTTAAAATGTAATTTTTTTAAAAACAATATAATGTAAATGAAATTAATTTAATATGCATTTTGATACTTCAAAAACGTCTTTTAATTATATTATTATCAATATTGTTAAATAAATTTTGCTACTTGTACAATTTTATTTACCATTTTGATTAACAGATGTTGAACCGACGACGAATAAATCAAACTGAATATTGAAAGTAAATGAATTGAAATAAAATTCACATTTAATTTAGAAAGTAAATAAAATTTAAATTTAATGCAAAAATAATTTGAAAGTAATTGAAATTGCATTTAATCCGTGACGATTCTAAAAATTTTGACGTCATATTCTATGTAAATTTCTTAATAAAATGACGTAAATTATATTGAAGAATTTATCGTGCAAAAATAATAAATGTTAATAAAATAATTTAAATTTTAAAGAAAAGACGAGCTACATGCCTCTTTTAAGATGTACATTTGACGTATATTTAACTATTGTCAATATTTGAATATATGGATTATTCAATATGACTACGACATAGTTCTCGAAACGTAGGCGATTTGTGAATTTGGATAGTATAACATCATCGGCAAATTTTGAAAGTTAGCCTATTATCTCGATTTTCAAAATAGTAGTTTGGAACGTTCTACTTTGATGTGTCAAAACTTTTGCTATGATTGGTCGTTTTGCATGCCATTAAAGAGTTTCGACTTCATTTGGAATCCTAAAACAAGTGTATCAAAGTAGATCGTAAAAGGATCAAAACAATTATTTTCTGAAAGAAAAAATCAAAAAAATTGACCTCACATGATCCCATGTGAATCCATCTCTGAGTGGAACAGTTAACGGATCACCGTCCAAGGGCAGACCATTCAAAATTTAGTTGTCATATCAAGTTTATAATTCATGGTGATGCACAGCACAATCTTGCGAATTGTGATGACGATATTGGGAAAAATATTTTCATCCTTATGGCATACCTCTAATTGCCAAGTATGGGATGCGTTGTCGTTGGCAGGACCAC